AGGGGTTCAAAGGGCTTGGGGGGGGTGATGTGCGGCCGGTTGCTGTCCCGGGAGTCAAGAGATTTCCAAGTCTCTCAACTGGACCGCTCAAGTTCCTAGGCGAAAACGCGGTCTGAGGCCACTAGATTTATTCCCGCAGCACTCCATCGCTGACCATTTGATTGTTTGATACTGCCGAATACTCTTCTTCGAAGTGGTTGAAGTGGTAGATGCAGCGGTCTAATGATTAGTGGTGGAGCGCAAACGGTGCCAAACGCCTGACTGAAGCCTCGAGTCGCAAAGTATGAACGTGCTCTCAGTGTGTTGCCACCATCCTGGCAACAAATAGTCCGTAAATGTGGGCCAGCACCCTTGAGAAACTCTAGCATAAAAAAGAATGCCAGCGAGAGGCCATTTCCAGTGAGCACAGCAAGCGGCCCAAAATCTTGTTCCCCCAGTAAAGTGGGCGGAGCGTGCGCTCAATGCTTGGCTTGTTGAAACATGTAAACGTATTCCAGCAACGAGAGACGATCGCGTGTTGTTGGATTTGCGAGAATTGTATGGATCATCAAATAGTCAACTATACGACAAATCAGTGCCAGAACTGTAGCATTGGCTATTGGCCAGATGCCACGAGAAGCAGTACGTTTTTGAACGTCCACACGCGATTTCCGATCGCGCGATCAATGCGATCGCTAAGTATGAACGCAATCTAATCAATGATTTCTAGGTTGCCACGCTCTACCTCATGAAACCATCTCGTGGTCATCGTTTGGCTCCATTCTGGCCCTGATTTTGGCCACCGTCGGAATGATCACCACCACCCTGACGACCATCATTTTTCTACGACATAACAGCACACCGGTGGTGAAAAGCACAACCAGGGAACTTAGCTATATTATACTCTCAGGTTTGTGAAAAATCAATAAATTCAATGGTCCACCCATTTCCTATTGTTCCAGGGATTATGACGTGTTATGCTGTGACTTTTTCGATTTTGGCCACGCCCTCCTCAGTGACATGTTTTTTGACCAGGTAGGGGTGGCACTTCGATCACAATCCCGGTGATCTCCTTCCCATCGCCCACTTATCGATCAATTTCAGAATTGTCCCGCCGATTGCCTTTTCCATAGTTTATTCCGCCCTGTTGACAAAAACAAATCGAATAGCCAGGATCTTGGCTGGTAGCAAAAAGAGAATCCTCACGAAGAAACCGCGCTTTCTCAGCACTTTCTCGCAGGTATGTCCCTTAGAATTATTTTGGCCTGGATCTGTTTTCTTGGATTGTTTTCCTTTCTTTTTAAGGTAGTTATAACATGGATCCTGGTTGGTATACAATGTGTGATAGTGGCTGTTGGAGTGCTGCAGGAGTGGCCATCAGCCGGTTTCTCCCCACACTATTTGCCATCTCGGTAATTACTGGTTTATCATTGATTTACTTTGAAATTGTTGATAAAAACTGTTTGTCACGGAGCGTTGTTTCGGGCCCGCCCCAGACAGCCCCGCCCACTTCGTACGCCTACGGGCTTCTTATTTATTTTTAGTGAATTTGGAGAATTTCCGCGCTTTTTCATTTGTACTTTGTTCATGAGTTCTGGATAACGCATAATTCACATGCATGACCGCCGCAGGCCCCGCCATTTTTTGACGCACTTGTCGAATTTTACGGGACTCATCTATTTTCGGTTTTTTCCTCTTCGCTATACTCGAAGCACGCAATTTTGTCCAGCATGCATTGAGATAGCAACTACTGGTCCGTGATGCACGCAGATGGGTAGCGGTACGGTTCTTTTCTTTCGCTTACCTTGCTCGCTAAGTAACTGCTGAGTTTTCGTGGTGTGTTGCGCAACTTTGATCGGCACAAAACGCTCATGAGCATATTTGGGACTACTAGCAAGTTGGGAATGAGGAGGAACTTTTGTTCTCAATCGCGACTCTTCAGCCACCCTATTGTAAGCTCCAATGCGATGTACAATCCATGGTTTAATCATTCTTGCACCACTCGGGCTGGGGGTAACTATATAAGTTGTAGGTCTGTGTCGCGAGCAGACGCGGAGCGGTTTTCTTTTGCACCTTGGCGCCTTCTTCAAGTACCTATTTATGGAAGTCTTTTTTCGAAATCGACACGACCTTAGCCTTTATCATGCGTCGATTATTTTCGTGTCAAACTCATACTGGCCCCTTCTGGTATGAACTGGAAAAAATTAGCAAAGGAGCGGTTACAAGGGCAGAGGCGCTCAGAGTTGTTACCGCCACATTCCTGAGTAAATTTCGGGCTAAAGACAGACCAGCATAGGTTACGACGCCGGCCCTGACTAGCTGTAACTAATACTTTCATCGGTGATTCGAATCTATTCAGTGATAGCGGATGCCATGTTTCAGTCTGGTTCTCGTATGCACGACATCGTCAGGATCATTTCTTACGCCTTTCATGTGGAATCTCCTACTGATCTCATTATGTACATTATATGCTGTAAAAACTCGCAATCTACCTGAAAACTTCAACGAGGCAAAATTTATAGGATTTACTATGTAAGTTTTACAGTGCATTTTGATATTTTGTGCGACCGACTTCAGACGCGTGCGGTCGCGACGCGGTTGGTCATCTTGGAGCCGCTGTTGCTGATAGGCGTGCATTAAAAAACGTCTGCTTGGGAACAAATGGTAGGGGTAGAGTCAGTATTTCAGGCAGATCTCTGAGTAATTGAAAAAAGGGTCAAACTAGGGTACCCGCGGTATGTGACATATTGATGCGCAAATTGGGCTTCAAACCATCTTTGAGTCCAGAACTTTGTTACCCAGCCCTTCTCAGGCCTATTAGTCTTTCGAGAGGATTTCTATCTACGTCGTTACCATTCAGCAGAAGTAAAAGTGGTTGGGGGAGGGGGCATGTCACCCCGCGTCTATGCTGTGTTATATCTTGCCTCAAAAGTCACTGTCGTGTCGTATGTTGGGTATATGGACAACATTCATGTTCGCAATCGATTTCCTATACGATTTATGCCCGAGAAACATTTCACAACAGTATAGAACACTATCTCGGTGGGAGGACGCAGACGTGGCGTAGCGTAGTCTCGCTGCCGTCTGCCACCTTCCCGGATTGAGTTCCCCTCACCAGAACAATATACGTACAATTTCTGATTTCCAGGTATTGTACCCTTGTCGTCTGGATAGCGTTCGTCGTACTGCATATGGGCACAGTGAACAAGGCGCTGACGATGAGTTTCTCGTTCTCACTCTCCGCTTCAATACCTCTGTTATTGTTGTTCTTTCCCAAACTCTATATTATTATACTACACCCGGAAAAAAATGTACGAGCTTCTTATACAACCACCAAGTTGATACGGTAAGTCTGACATCAT